AACCTTGTTACCCCCACCGACACAGTACCACAGTTTCCTTAAAAACTTACCCTCTTTGTCTATTTTATTCTGGGCAGCAAGCGCTGAAGCTATGATAGGCGCGATGTTTCATCAGCTCAGGGCAAGTCACGCTCGACGGGCAAGTCACGTATGGAAAAATAACGCGACAACGAGTCAAACATGGCTCGTTATCCTCTCATGTGAGAAAACCACTTACTGTATAGTAATGCTGGATTTTCTCCTCAAGTTCTTCACTCTGCTGCAGGAGCTCCAAGCACTGAAACTAGAATGACACACCAAAACATTAAACTCCACCCAGGTGCCGGATTCGAGCGTCATTTTTTTGGTGAAAAGCAAGATCAGCGACCGCGAATTCCTTGCAGTCCTTCTTTTTCTGAGTTGTCTGCTCGCGAAAGTGAATTTTTTTTACCTTTCGACAGCCCCATATTAAAAGATAAAACACATTTAATTCGTTGAGAAGACTTCAAAGGTCTGGTTCAAATTCCCCACCCCACCCAAGCAAGGTTCAATATCCCCACCCCCCCAGCACAGACGGGGGTGTTGGGGTTCCGAATTGATCTGCGCAAAACATACAATAAGTCTAACCACTGAAAAACACCGGCGGTGAAATAAAAAATAAAAATAACATAGTTAAACCGATTAAAACCCTAAGACCTTGGATCAAGTCTTTCAAAATGAAGCAGTGCAGCGACTCAGTTTAGAGAGAGTAAACTGACACACAGGCAACCCAAACTCTCAATACCAAACACGGTCATTCACGGTCATTATCATTTATGGATTACAGAGCGCTACAACTATGTTGACACAGGTAGCCCATACTTTCACCATATGCATGCTGAAGACATTCAAAAATAGAGAGTACACCTACACTGACACAGGGTACCCATGCTCTCACCCTAAACTTGCTGGGGTTATCCGCCTCAAGTATACAAATGTCCACCCATTGTTTGGAGAGGAGTGATGTCGTCATGTTGTCATCTTCTACTGGCTTGCTGGCTTCCGTCGAGCTCTCAGACGTCACACTGTCTTTGTCATCATCGTGATATTCCAAAGTACTGCTATCAATTCTGAGAGTAAAACAAGACTGAGTGAACATCGAAAAGGTCAAGTCTAATTACGAGCTAAGTGGCCATCAGGCCTGCGCTTAACTCCAGTTTTCATAGCATGAAGCGACTCACTGTCTGCCATACAATTCTTACGGTGTTAGTTGGAGAATTTGGTATTGGATCAACTGATGATCCCCTTACTTATATTTTTCTTTATTTCCATCTGTTTGATACCGCATTCAAGTTGTAAAAAGAAATTCGGTCTTAGTCACTCATGGCAGTGAAAAGGTCAACAACATTTTTCTTTTTTATCACATAAAACAAACAGATTCTATGTTACAGCGGGTCTGTACAGTAATGGATCACAGAAGGCGTCAAAATATGAAAAGAACATCACTGACACACTCAAATGATCCTCGTGAACCATTCTTGGTTCTTACACATGGCAACATGGAATCTAATTGATATTTTGTAAAAAACAAGTTTTACATACCCAGCAGAAGCTGCTTCATCGAATGTTTCGGATTGTTCTTCTGTCTCTAATCCCAACACCTCCCCTAGATTTACTAGGGCATCTTCCTCATCCTCGGAGGAAACAAAAAGCCTCACTAAAGGAACATCTGCCAACTGAACAACCTAAAAAAGAAACAAATACGGTAGCTGCCAGTTAAATTTGTATTGGCAGAGACTCCAACTGCAATAAAAATTTAGTTTCACGAACAAGTCATAGTCTAACGACGAAGAGAGATACCCTTGATTGCACACACAAGCACAAAACTGTCAATCAAATATCTTAACCATGTTTGGCCCCAGTCTACAACAGAGGCAAGTGTGTGTAAAAGATAAAGCCATCATGTCGTCTCTCCCCACCCTCCCCCAGGTAAATATATGTCGAGTCTGGTAATTCTTATTTGCAATTGCTTGAACTAAAAATAATCATGCCTTCTATCATGAAAGAGGTTTATCTTAAATATCTGCGAGCACTACGTTCTAACCTCAAGAAATACATTTCTCTCGGTGATCATTTCAGCCTGTTCCTCTGTCAGACCCTGCTGCAAAAAGCATAAAGAACGTTCACTCACATGGGTCTGAGGAAAGAATAGAAAGAGGTCACCGGACTTCCCTTTTGCTGCACGGAGTGTTCTCTAACATAACCAAAGTAAAGCGCGCGCTCTGATTGGTCAATTCAGCATCCACCATTTGCCCACGGGTGTAGGCTGCTGACGTGAGCGAATGCAAAGACTACTTTTCCGCGCGCGCTTGTTTTTTCTGGTCACGAAAGATTTGTTAAATAAAAGACTCTTTTGCTACAATGTAGCAATGTTATGTTATAAAAAAAAATGGTAAACGCCATAGTGTACACTATTGAGTTATGGATGCACTTGGGAGGTTTGCTTGTGTACGCTGTCGTGTTTACCATTTGTTAATTAGACATTACTATAAAGAATGTAAAGTAGAAAGAGTAAAATATTCAATGAATAGGCGAAATACCTTATCAGTTCCTTCCAGCTTGCATTCTAATGCCTTTACGAAAGATAAAAAAATATCGAATATATCAAAAGCCTAAAAAATACACTCAAAAATAAGGTCTTTTGTAATATACGATATAACATAACTTGCATAAGGAGGAAATATAAACCACTACTCTATCTTCATATTACAATTTTAATAAAGCTGCTTAAAAGCTGCTTATGATCTAAAACGAGAGGAAACACTGAAACAACGACAAAGGTCTGGAAGGAATGTTACAGGGAAAGCTGGGTAGGGGTATCCTAAAGGGATGAGAACAGGGGAGGAATAAAAAAACATGGGGGAAGGGTACCTTAGAGGGAAGAGAGCACGGTGGGGGATTGCAAAAAGACAAGTAAGGAGGGGTACCTGTTAGGAAGGAGAACAAAGGGAAAAACAGAAAAACAAGTAGAGAGGGATGCCTGTAGGGGAAGAAGAGCAAGGGGTAAGAAAAAAAAAAAGTAGGGAAGGGTATTTGTTAGGTAGGAGAGCAAGAAGGGAATGCAAAAAGACAACTAGGGAGGGATGCCTGTAAGGGAAGACTGCAAGGGGTGACGCAATAAACCAAGATGGGAGGGGTTCCCAGGGCTCTCATTAAGTGCCGGCCACCGGCTCAAGAACCGGCTACTTCGATTTCTGAGCCACCTGCTTTTCGTGACATAATTTATGTGTGAGTTGTAAAGAGTAATGAAAATAAATTGGTGTAAACCGTCTGCTTCATGAAGCAAGCCGTCTACTCCACAAGTTAATGAGAACCCTGGGTCCCTGTAAGGGGAGAGGAGAAGGAAGAAGGAAATAAAAAGACAAGAGAGTTACGTAGCTGGTAGAGAAGATGGCAATGACTAAAGTGTAGTGGGGTACCTGGAATGGAAGAGAGTTGACGTGACTTATGGCTCTTGTTGGTTCACGAAGGCTTGATAATGGAAGTACTTCTGTGTTTCCAAAGTCAACATACTGTACTTCAACCTTAAAACATAACAGACAAACCACAGTTGGAATCCACCACAATTAACGTCAACTCCAAGACCCAAGTAGGGTTCAAAAAGTTGTATTTATCTATAACTCCTTGGCATGGAAAAAACAAAGGAGGTTTAGAACACTACTGAAATAAAGGATTTGAGCTTCTCTGGAAAAAAAAAATGCCCAACCTCTTGTGATAGAGCACTCAACCCAAAATGTAAACCCTAACATCAGTATGCATATTCTCCATACTGTTCTCTATACATTTCCTAAGACGTTGACAAGGAGAATTTGTTTAACAATCAAGAACTTCAGTTGGTGATCATTTCCTTTATTCTCCTGACCTTAATGTGTGATTCAGGGGTGATATTGTGAGGAGAAATGAAATACTAGTATCTCTTTGGGTGATTCTTCAAGTGTGATAATCCACTGTTTACAAGGACTCATTCTAATTGAAACCAATCATTTTTGATCCACTTGTCGTCTCATTATCATCAATGTTCTTCTAATTTGGAACAAGTTGTCTTCACTCTCTATACAAGAAATACCTCTCTCTCGGGAAATACATTTGTCACTATGGCTCTGTACCAGACCCCATCTGAACAATGCGCACAGCACATTTTGTCTTTGTGGGGACTGGATACAAACTCAGCAGCCTTTGTTATCTAAAAATCAATTAAAAGTAAACACAATGGTTACATGTCTACAGTCTACTGTTCAATGGTTACATGTCTATTAGCAATACAATATCCAGCACACAGCTAATGACAAGAGATGTTTCAATCAATAAGAGAAGTGTCGGCAAACTGTCTTTCTTAATTTATTGGCAAATGTTAAGAATCTTGAAGGGAAAATTCCCATTCAGATTTTAGAGTGAAAGTGTTACAGAAAAATCTCTTTATTTTGGTGCACGTTACACTGAGCTAAAAATATATCAGGTGATTTGGTTATATCAACTAAGTTAATAATGCAAATTGGCCACCTTAAAGAGTTTAAGTGCTGACGTTTTGAGTGTTAGCTCTTTGTCAGAGCGAAAGTGGTTTATTACAAGGTAGATATTTTGTGAGTTATGCATGTTTCCAAGCCCTGTAACAGCAAAGAGAAAAGTATACAATGAACAAAATGGCTTCCCTTGTCATATGTTCAACCATTGCATAAGGGACTTATTATAGCACAACTATTTCAATTTCTAGTATTTTGACCTCTAGTTTTCAAAATGCATCCTATGATCCATCTAAGTGGCATGATATTCATTATAAATGGCCTGCATGAAAGATGAAAACAGCACAGGCAAAACAGTTGATATATTTTTTTAACAGATCAAAAAATTTGATGACCTTAAAAGTTCATTAGTCAAGCCTTAAAAAAGAGGAATACATCCAAAGTGTAGCCTGCAGTATGGCCATTTTTTCCTATGCTTTCCATCCATATTTTTGCCATGTTCTGCAGTGTAATACCAAAGCATATTTTGCAGGTTCTGTTGCCCTAATATTGTAAAATAGCACAATAGTGGAATTATAATTCTTCATTAAATTTACCCCAGAGTAATGTTCGGCAATGTCTTCCATCAGTTCGTGCAATCTCATAGTCCCTCCACCAGGAATCTGTACAAACACGTGACCCTCCGGTGTAACATAAGTCACAAATGCTTCAACTTGCTCACCAACCTAACAACAAAAAATTACTCCACAGTATTGTATGGCAAGGTAGTCCCTAGGGTAGATCCGAGCATCCTGATTGGTTCTCACTTAGTGTGTATTTTGCCACATGGACTATTTTCAAGGAAATCATCATAAGCTTTGTATTTTTGCTCACCAAAAGCCAGCAAATTCAAAATAAACAAGTCTAGTCCAAGTGCCATAACATGATTAAACAACTTGCCCCCCTGCTTGCTCGAGCCACACTGGGGAGTTTTAGACCTTGGTTGTTTTTGTATGGATCAAGTGCAGTGAGATCCAGCTTACTGTCCTGGCTTCTGACCAATATTCCCCAGTGTTGGTTAGTGCAAAGTTATTCTAATAAATTTTAATAAATTTAAAAATAATAAATAATAATAAATAATAAATAAATAAATAATAAATAATAAATTTAATAAATAATAAATTAAAAAATAAATATTAATAAATAATAAATATTAATAAATATATATATATTAATAAATAAATATATAAATAAATATATTTATTAATATATATATTAATATATATATTAATAAATATTAATAAATATTACCTTTAATAAATTTTCATTTATTCTCTAACTCAAGTTAACGGTGGTTTTAAGGCTACTTTCCAACTTCAACAATGCTCGTAAAGATGTTATTTAAGGAAAACATATACATATGATCATTATTATTACATCATGGGTTTAATTACCCTTAACAATTATTAGAATCGCACAACTTAGCACCCCTCACTGATATACACATACATACATACTTTATTTAAGGTATCAAATAATAAACTACACAAATAACAATTACCCTAAAAAAGAAGTTTAAGAGGTTAACCCTATGTAAATAAACTTCCAAAGAAATAAAATTTAAAAATGTATGCTTATAATAAATTGTAAGACGGATAAAAACCTAAGAAATACACATGTATAATTTAAGAGCTGTTTTGAAACATGTTAAGTTACCTATCTCAACGACATTGGCGGGCAGGTCATTCCATTCATGAATGATTTTAACAAAAAAAGAGCATTAATAACAATTACATTTTGCCAATTTAACCTGCAGTTTGTAATTGTGGTTGGACCTGGTACATTTTTGAAGCAAACTCAAAAAAATCACAAAAATGAAGGCAATTCAGCCCGAACACAAGTTTATAGCATTCTACCATGGAAAAATATAGCCTTCTATCAGTCAACTTCGACCAATGTAACATTTCACATGTTCCCCCATTTTCAGCAATGTATTATTTGATATGATATGTTCCCCCATTTTCAGCAAAAAGGTTTTGAGTCTCTCAAATACTGCCATGACTTGTACCTTGGGAAGAAGTGGAGCCATGTCCTCATCCGGAATGACCAACCGTTGTAACATCGTGTTGATGTTGATATCAACTTCAGAAGAAGTGTCGTACAGTTCTACTGATGCTGTATTTCCATCTCTACAGACACAAGAAAGTGAATGTCAAAAAGAAAAGTTGAATGCATCACACAAACCAAGTCCATTTCCCATGATAACTGAAGCTGAATTGTGTATGTAATATGTTGATTGGCTCTTACTTATAATCTATTAAAGGACAAACATGAAGTTAATATCAGCATTAATAACATTTCACTTTTTTATCATAGAAAATTTCAGCTTTAAAAACTTGTTATGGTGGCCAATTTACACTCTGGAAACTTGGTTGATAAACTAAATTGCATTGGAGTAAACCCCATTGTTCATGGAATTTTTCTGCCCATTTGGAGGAATTCATTTGAAATTTGGGTGTGGTCAAGTGTCTTCCCTCATAGCACCACACAGAAAAGCTGCACCTAGCCAAGACCTAACCCCAGGGTACACATTGACCATCATGACACTGCTAGCACTAAAAGACTACATTAACCCTTTCACCTGAGGTGTGCATGAAGTGCACATGTTCACACCTTTTTATAACTTGTGCCACAATATCCTTGTTGAGTGTCATGTGTTTTACTTTTAACAGAACTTCAGGATTCTTTGTTTTAGGCAGTCCATGGAGGCTGACAGTGCAAGCCTTGAAAGAAAGTAAGCAAACTCTGTCAGTAAATGAGTCTGGTGGCAAGAAGACCCCACTGTTCACAAACAGTCAACTACTTTTAATTAGTTCCTTTTAAGCTCTGAGCGAATGCTCAGAATTTTCTAGATGAAAATTATAGCTGCTATCTTTCATGTTGACAGCAGCAGAAGGCTGGGGAGAGAAAGAAATTTGTACCAAGGGGGTGAGCGATGGTCAAATTCTTGTTACTGGTTTACAAGGAAATGTGTAGCAGCTAGAGGGGAGAATTAACAAATAGATCACGGGAGCGAAAGGGTTCAGCAAAACCTACAAAATGCAACAAATATAATTATACAACAACAAACATATGAAACATGTGTGAACTGCGGTTATGAGACGTATATGAGAACGATCCTTCGCAGTAAAGCACTATTTGAGCAATAGTGCTTAACCGCAGTTCACACATGTTTCATATGTTTGTTGTTGTTTGATTTATCATCTACGGGTTTATATCGAATTAATTTGATGGCCTGCTCCCAGTTGGCTTGTTAGCTCAATTGGTAGAGCGCTGCACTAGTATCGCAGAGGTCAGTGGTTCGAATCCCGTACAGGCCTGAAATTTTTTTCAGGTCTGATTTCCACTATTGCTCAAATAGTGCTTTACTGCGAAGGATCGTTCTCATATACGAAATATAATTATATTTAAAAAATGGTATCATTTGCTGACCCTAAGATAATTTGCTGTCAAATTCAGCATCCACATTTCTATATTGAGGCACTTTTTCTGATAAATAACTTTTGGTATCGTAAAACCATCAACAGAAGATCGTATCACAAACCTGAAAGGGTAATTCCAAAAATCTGGAAGGAATACTCCATAAGCTTGTTATTGGTATTATTCCTTTGTCCCCATAGTCCATGTACTCTATCAGAACCTTGTCTCCCTTTACTTTTAGAACCTTTACTCTATACCACAGACCATCTGAATGAATTTCCTGTGAATATACTGCACAGATGCTTCCAGGAACAGCTTTAACTGTTTCTAGGTCAAACAAAATGCAACAAGTAACACTGAATAATTACATTTTTTATATAGTATGGCACGCCTCTAACCACTTTACAATGTGTAAGAGAGAGAAACAAATCTTTTTTAAATAAACATAAAGTGCTTAAAAATCCCTACTGGCAACAGGGAGTCCAGTTGGTTATTTACAGAGCGCAGCTGAGGGGTTGAACTTTGAGCAACTGAGAACAAATCCAGTGAGTAGCAAGGTGGAGGACTTAAACACAAGACACTGCATTACAAGTCCAGCACCACCTAGAAGACAGGTAAAACGAGTGAGAGGGGTTATTAGCCCTTTCACTCCAAAGATTTAATTCATAATTCTCCTTACTGTCTGCTTTACAATTCTTAGGATGTTAATTTGGAGAATTTGGTCTTAGATCAACCAATAATCCCCTCATTGATGTTTCTCTGTATCCTCATTACTTGTCCGCTTGATATTGTATTGATAAGGTAAGGAGAAATTCTCTCTTGGTCATCTTCTTTCTCCCAAAAACATTGTCACTTCAAATGTATGGATTGTGGCCACTTGTCTTGTTAGGGCAAGAATTCCACTGATTGTGTGTAACGTTATTAAACATCATCAGGGCCCAACACAAACAAAAGCCCATTAGCCCCAGACTAGTAGAAATTCAGTTTTGGCTAGTGGTTTTCAATTTCCACCAGCCAGTTTGGCTAGTAAACAAACTGAAATTGTTGTAACATCTAAGATGTCACTAGCCCCTTGGCTAGTAAGTTGAAAAGTTAGTGTCAAGCCCTGATTATGCTCCACTGTGATTTATATAATAAAGTGAAACATGCACCCAAAGAGAGATGCATAGATGACATCATCATAAACAAATTTTTGCTTTTTTCTCATGTAAAACAAATAGATTCCATTTTGCCATGGGACTGTGCAGTAAATGGATGACTGGCTTAGCAAAATAAAACCTAAGAAAAAGGAATTTCTCTAACCTTCAGCAGTTGAATCCTCATAGTGGCACAACATACTCTGTTCCAAAGCAAGCAGTTTCTCCTAAATGACACAAATTGTATGACAATACAGATAACATAACATAACATCAACTCATTTATTTCAACACAATGAGTGTTTAAATAGCTTAGCGCTTATGGGGTCGTGCATTTAAACTAGTCCTAAAACTAATATCTATTGCTAACTTACATACAAAATAAAAGTAAGATCACTAATAGTTAATAGTTATAAAAATTTGTACAATATATGTGATTATATAATTTATATCAAGAAATTATACCTCTTATCGTCCAAGTTCAAGTTCTATTTTGTAAGTATGTTTACGGTTAACATTATTATATAAACCCTTGAGGCAGAAGGTTAAAAATACACTCACTGCATATTCTCCCCCTGATAGATTGACACAGATGTTGTCTGTGCTGTGTACATTACACACAAACACATCTATGAATTCCTCATCCGGGATTTGTACTCTCTCTTGAAAACAAACAAATGAACAACTTAAATAAGTGAAAAATTTATACTTTCCACTTAAAGTGCCACCAAGACGAAAATTTTTGTCTCTGGTTTCGACATTTTTTAGTGCCAATCAAGTTAATATGGTTAGAATTGTACTATGCGATAGTTTTTAGGTCGATGGAAGCGAAATAAGCCTTGATATAGCTGGCCGAAATTCACAAAAAACCCGTCCGCCATTACTCAGCTTGCAACCGAGAGCCAGCAACTGAACTGAAAAGCAGTTTTACGCATGAATTGGCCTGTGACATCATATGTGCACTTTCGCATCATGCTTCGTGTGTTGTGAGAGATTCCACAGTGGAAGTTCTAGGCATTTTATAAGATGTATTCTTCCTCTAATTCTTCTTCTT